GGGAGACTGAGGCGGGTGGCTCACCTGAGGTCAGGAGTTTGAGACCAGCCTGGCCAACGTGGCAAAACTCCGTCTCTACTAAAAATACAAAAAAAATTAGCCAGGTCTGGTGGCAGCCACCTGTAATCCCAGCTACTCAGGAGGCTGAGGCAGGAGAATTGCTTGAACTCTGCGGGTAGAGGTTGCAGTGAGCCAAGATCACACCACTGCACTCCAGCCTGGGTGACAGAGCTTGACTCTGTATCAAAAAAAAAAAAAAAAAAAAAAAAAAAAAAAAGAGAGCTCTTTTTTTTTTGGATCAATTGAGAGCTGACTGCAATAGTCCAAGAGATAAATGTTCTCTTTGATAGTACTTAAGGAAATAAATGACCTAAGTCTAGGAAGATCAATGGGAAGGTGGTGGAGGGTGTGACTACAAGACAGCTGTGCTATGGTAAGAGAAAATGATCAATGATTGATCAAGGGGTTAAAAAGAACTGTTGATGGCTTCTAGATCTCTGGTTTGGGTAACTAGATGGATAGTGTCACTTACCAAGGCAAGGAAGGTAGGAAGATGAGCAGGTTGGGAGGAAGGACAATGAGTTCCATATCAGATGAGTTAGGTGTGAGGTTGCCTCTGAGGCACCACGGTAAAGCTGCAGGTATGTAGTCTGTGGTCACACTGGCTATACAGTAACCCACTCCAAGGACTGCCATTCACAATAGCTACACTGTGAATGGTGTTTCCTGGAGTTAAGCATTGTGGGAGCCCTGCATTGGAGGTATAAGTTAGAGATCCAGTTTGAGGAATTATCAGCATAATAGGAACTGCTGAAAAAAGGGAATGGATGAGATCACCTACAAAAAGAAGTGTGAGAAAAAGTTTTTAGCCTGAGGTCCTGTATTAGTATGTTCTCACACTGCTATGAAGAACTGCCCCAAACTGCATAATTTATAAAGAAAAGAGTTTTAATTGACTCACGTTCTGCATCTCTGGGGAGGCCTCAGGAAACTGACAATCATGGCAGAAGGGGAAGCAGGCAAGAGGACTGCCCTTATAATCCAATCACTTCCCTCCCTCTACACGTGGGGATTACAATTCAAGATGAGATTTGGGTGGGAACACAAAACTAACCATATCATGTCCATACACCTGACTTGTATGCAATATTTTATCATAAATGCTTATGTATATTTTTCTAGAAAGAAGATCTTTAGCTTTCAATATATCTTCAGAGGGGACCACAGCCCTAATACAGTTAAGGACTACTACTGTGAATGAGAAGAGGGTTAAAGCCAGAACCATTAACATCTAAAGGACAAGAGAAGAAGAGCAGTCAGCAAAGGAAGTCAGAACATTAGAACTATGGGAGCAGGATCATAAAAACTTTGAGAACAGAGTTAGTTAGATGCCAAAGAACCATGAGGACTGGATAGAATTTGGCAATTTGGAGGTTGCTGAAACATGTGCTTGAACAATTTCAGTGAAAAGTAAAACCATTTTAGGTCTCAGTCACAGTGGGCTGAAAAATAAATAAGAAATCTCTTTGTAGGTCTCTAAGAACTTGCTTTATGAATGTGGGTGCTCCTGTATTGGGTGTATGTATATTTAGGATAGTTAGCTCTTCTTGTTGCATTGATCCCTTTACCATTATGTAATAGCCTTCTCTGTCTTTTTTGATCTTTGCTGGTTTAAAGTCTGTTTTATCAGAGACTAGGATTGCAATCCCTTTTCTTTTTTGTTTGTTTTGTTTTTTTGCTTTCCATGTGCTTCGTAAATCTTCGTCCATCCCTCTACTTGGAGCCTAAGTGTGTCTTTGCACATGAGATGAGTCTCCTGAATACAGCATACTGATGGGTCTTGATTCTTTATCCAATTTGCCAGTCTACGTCTCTTAACTAGGGCATTCAGTTCATTTACATTTAAGGTAAATATAGTTATACATGAATGATCCTATCATTATGATGCTAGCTGGTTATTTTGCCCATTAATTGATGCAGTTTCTTCATAGTGTGGATGGTCTTTGCAATTTGGTATGTTTTTGCAGTGGCTGATACTGGTTTTTCCTTTCCATAGTCAGTGCCTCCTTCAGGAAGTCTTATGAGGCAGGCCTGGTGGTGACAAAATCTCTCAGCATTTGCTTGTCTGTAAAGAATTTTATTTCTCCTTTGCTTATGAAGCTTAGCTGGGTATGAAATTCTGGGTTGAAAATTCTTTTAGGAATGTTGAATATTGGCCCCCACTCTCTTCTGGCTTGCAGGGTTTCTGCAGAAAGGTCTATTATTAGTCTGATGGGCTTCCCTTTGTGGGTAACCCAACCTTTCTCTCTGGCTGCCATTAACATTCTTTCCTTCATTTCAACTTTGGTGAATCTGACAATTATGCATCTTGGGGTTGCCCTTCTTAAGGAGTATCTTTACGGTGTTCTCTGCATTTCCTGAATTTGAATGTTGGCCTGTCTTGCTAGGTTGGGGAAGTTCTCCTGGATAATATCCTAAAGAGTGTTTTCCAGCTTGGTTTCATTCTCCCTGTCACTTTCAGGTACACCAATCAAACATAGGTTTGGTCTTTCAATATAATCCCATATTTCTTGAAGGCTTTTTTTGTTCCTTTTCATTCTTTTTTCTCCAATTTTGTCTTCATACTTTACAAAAGCAATGGCAACAAAAGCCAAAATTGACAAATGGGATCAAATTAAACTAAAGAGCTTCTGCACATCAAAAGAAATGATCATCAGAGTGAACAGGCAACCTACAAAATTGGAGAAAATTTTTGCAATCTATCCATCTCACAAAGGGCTAATATCCAGAACCTACAAAGAACTTGAACAAATTTACAAGAAAAAAACAACCCCATCAAAAAGTGGGCAAAGGATATGAACAGACACTTCTCAAAAGAAGACATTTATGCGGCCAAGAAACATATGAAACAAAGCTCATTATCACTGGTCATTAGAGAAATACAAATCAAAATCTCATTGAGATACCATCTCATGCCAGTTAGAACAGCGATCATTAAAAAATCAGGAAACAACAGATGCTGGAGAGGATGTGGAGAAATAGGAATGCTTTTAATACGGTTGGTGGAAGTGTAAATTGGTTTAACCATTGTGGAAGACAGTGTGGCAATTCCTCAAGGATCTAGAACCAGAAATGCCATTTGACCCAGCAATCCCATTACTGGGTATATAGCCAAAAGATTATAAATCATTCTACTATATTGACACATGCACACATGTTTATTTGCAGCACTGTTCACAATAGCAAAGACTTGGAATCAATCCAAATGCCCATCAGTGATAGATTGAATAAAGAAAATTGGCACATATACACCATGGAATACTATGCAGCCATAAAACAGAATGAGTTCATGTCCTTTGCAGGGACGTGGATGAAGCTAGAAACCATCATTCTCAGCAAACTAACACAGGAACAGAAAACCAAAGACCACATGTTCTCACTCACAAGTGGGAGCTGAACAATGAGAACACATGGACACAGGGAGGGGAACATCACACAGAGGGGTCTGTTGTTAGGGGTATAGGGGCTACGGGAGGCATAGCATTAGAAGAAATACCTAATTTAGATGACGGGTTAATGGGTGCAGTAAACCACCATGGCACATGTATACCTATCTAACAAATCTGCACATTCTGCACATGCATCCCAGAACTTAACAATATAATAAAAAAATAAATGAGATATAAGGAAACTGAAACAGAAAAGGAAGACACAGGGAAAAGTGTAAAATTAGAATGGAAACACAGGCTGGAACTAGATTGTGCAAAGGAAATTTCAACTTTTTCCGGTGAGTATCGCTGTGCATACACATGCTAAGTAAACTAAATCTCAGCTTGACTGTCTTTAGTTAAGCCAATTAGGGAGGATAAAATAAGCACATGTATCTGCAGCAAGGAATGGCTGCTTCACTGACTTCAAATCTACCACTGTGATAACTTGATCCATTTATATTTTTATTCACTTCTTCCTTCAGGATTTGAGACCAGGCAGGAAACAGGAGTGGGGAGCAGGGTGGTGCTGATTATTTTAAAAATGAGCTGGTAAGTATGGTCAGACTTCAAAAATTGTTTCTTAATATGGACACTGCAGACACAAAAAAACCCACCGCACTTTTGAAAATATGCCTTGCTTTATGCCAATAAGGTATGAGTTATTTGAAACTCTGGAACAGTAGCATTTTCCTTACTGTTTTTAGGTTCAGAAACAAAGGAGAAAAATGAAAACTGCTTTAATGGGTGGCAGATGTACATTAGCTCACTACATTTTCAGTTGTCTCTAACCCAAAGTATCAGAAAACAAGATCAAAACTTTTGTGTGCTTTTCTGTTGCCAGAGACATAAAATAACATCTTGGTAATTACCTGGCTGGCAGGAAAACAGGGGTATGGGAATTCAAATGGAACCCCCAAGAGGCAAAGGAAGAGTGAATTAACATGCAAACTAGGAGCAGGGTGACGTCCCCTGTGCCCTTCGCCAGGCCTAGCTGCACATAAGGAGGGGGGTGCGCCAGTCCCTCCAAAGGCAGGGACTGGAAGCAGAGGGGAAAAGCCGTTGCGGTAAGCAAATGCCAAAAGTTTTCTTTCATCATCTTCCGACCCAGCCTGTTTCAGCAAAAATCTTACTTAAGCACACAGAACTTTATACATGGTTATTCTTTTCCTACGTTTAAGTGACCAGAGCCTCTGGTGACAGTAATTGGTCAGCATCCCTCACTCCTGCCCTCTTCCCAGACGCTTCGGAGGGGAACCTTTGGGACCTTACAGCACAACCGCAGAATCACCGGTGTCTGAGAAAGAGCCCCAGGGGAGGAAGCCCGCGCCAAAGAACTTTAAATCTCACTCCACTACTTCCGCCAGGGACGCAAGGTCTGCTCGGAGCTCTGCTACCCACCGTCGCCAACCGCTACCAAATCCCGACTCTTCACTCTGCGCCTCCCAGCCGCCTGGCAGCCGCAGCCTCAGCAAGTACAGCCGCTACCTAGGAAGCAATCTGACAGTTTCAAACTGCAGGGAGGAATTAAGTACAGCCCTGTGCATTGGGCTTTTGCTTTAGCAATGTGTCATTTGATTGGTCCGCGATCTGGGGGGCGGAGCGTTGGGCCGCTCTCAGGGGAAGCCGGAATTACTTTGGAGAGCCCCGCCCCCTGGCTCCGCAGGTTGCGAGGGGGTGGGGTCCTAGGGAGCCACACCCAGCGCCCATGGGGTTTAAATACTGCGCGTGCTCGGATCTGTTGAGCGATTGCAGGCTGCTAAGCGGTTCCTGGAGCAGGTTTGGTTAGAGAATGTTGAGCAGGGCTGAAGTTTGCTGATGCTGTGTGCTGCTGGCTTTCAAGAATTCTTGTATCCTACGCGTGAGTCCTCATGCTTAAGTCTGCATAAGAACAATCCAGAATTTTGGGCCAGGTTTGGTGGTTCATGCCAGTAATACCAGCACTTTGGGTGGGTGGATCGTTTTAGCTCAAGAGTTCGAGACCAGCCTGGGGAACATATGGATACCCTTTCTGTATAAAAAATGAAAAGCAAAAACATCATCTGCATCCACAGATCCCCTGCAACAGAATCTCCTGGAGGTGCTTTTTAAACATAAAGATTCCTGATCGTTCTTTGTTGATTCCTTCCGTCGTGGGTACTGTCAGGAAATCTGAGTTGTTAATACACACTGCCAGTGATTCTGATGCAGGAGTCTGCAGGCTACGCTTTGAGAAATTGCTAGTGTGGGCCGGGTGCGATGGCTCATCCCTGTAATCCCAACACTTTGAGAAAACGAGACAGGCAGATCACTTGAGGTCAGGAGTTTAAGACTAGGCTGGCCAACATGGGGAAACCCCAGCTCTACTAAAAATACAAAAATTAGCCCGGCGTGGTGGCTCATGCCTGAAGGCTGAGGCAGGAGGATCTCCTGAACCCAGGAGGTGGAAGTTGCAGTGAGCTGAGATTGCACCACAGCACTTCTGCCTGGGCGACACAGTGAAACTCTGTCTTTAAAAAAAATCGCTAGTCTAGTTTTAACTAATTTCAAACGTGTCAGACTTCAAGGTGGCCCTTCTGGCAAAGTATTGACCTTAGACTCAGATCGTAATTATAATCTAGCTCTACCATCTACTCACTCACCTCGGATAATGCTACTCACATACTAAGGTGGTAGGAGATTAAAGGCATTAATACTAAAATACCTAACACACAAACATATAGTCTTTCAACTTATATTGGCAACAGATAGGCTAGAGGACATGAGGACCCAGATGGCAAATGTACCTAATTAGCCCAGACTGTGGTTCTCCAATCTGAAGAATAGATACTGGGATCTGGGTGAGTTTCCAGACTTTCTTGTGTTACCTCCAGGATGAGGTTTCTTTTTCTATGGATAGAAATGGCATAACCTGGGTCTCACTTATTTCATGTTGACAGAACCAGACTTCTACTTATACAAACAATGAAGTAAGAAGAACACCAGAAGTTTCTTTGGTGTAAATTATGTTTGTTACCTCCCACTTTTTTCATGCTTATTATAAAGGACAAATTCCTACTAATAGCTGCAAATTCATACTTGGTTCTAATACTTGTTTTTTAACTGAATTGCCTTTTGGTGCCCCCCAACACTATAATTGTTATGGAATCAACTTCTGGTGCCCTCCTGCCACTAGGTTCCAAGTTTCTATTTCCTGTCTTCCTTTTGGGGGAGGGAGGATATTTATTAAAAACAGTTTAGTGAGCAATTCCCATTCTTCTGTAAAACTATAGAGAGAAAGAGACAGAACCTGGTCTGGATGTTATGAATTTATAACTGATATCTTTCCCCAAAGTTCCTAGAGAGGGAGGGAAAGAGAGAGAGAATTTTAACCCCCCACCCATAATAACTTATTTGCCAGCTTGAACCCTTCATAATTATTTATTCATTCAACAAATATTTAACATCCATCATAGGCAAGGCAAATTTTTGTTGGTGCTAGGGATAGAGTGATGAACAAAACACAGTCTGCCCTCGTAGAAGAGTCTAATGGGAAAAACTGATATCAAACCAACAAATCCATCACACATATGAAAAAATACTTAACAGCTGTGTGAACCTGGGCAAGCTGCATAACCTCTCTGCACTTCAGTTTCTGTATCTGAAAAATGAGGATAGGAATTAGCTCACTGAGAATTAAATTAACGTAGGTGCTGTTTCTATCCTAATTTTTCAGATGGAGAAACTGAAGCACAGAGAGGTTATGCAGCTTGCCCAGGTTCATGCAGCTGGTAAGAATAGCATCGGTGTCCATGTTCTTGTCACTCAAGATGTTCTGTTGGGACAGCATGCCATGGGTCTTGAGGTAAGAAGGGGCTTGTATCTGGATAATAGCAAAGGCTAGTAAGATTGGAACTTAGTGATTGAGGAGAAAGTGGCACAAGATGAGGTTGCAGTTGGAGGTGGGGGCCCAACTATGCAGGACTTGTTAAGGATTTGAGATTTTAAGTTAATGGGAAGTATTTTAGATGTTCAGGAGAGAGATGAGGGGCTTTTGCATATAGATATTGTGGGGGATTGCAAAAATGGTTCCAATTCTGTATCTCTCCAGGAATTTATGTCCCGTTTCACATAACTTCACTCATAGTGCTTCTCTGCTAATGACCAACAGAATGTTAACAAATATGATGCAAGCAGAAGTTTCAAAATACTTATATGCTTGGCTTAGCTTGCTCTTGCTTTCTATTACAACCATGAAAATACGCCTGGGCTAGCCTGCTGGAAGTTGAAAGACACGTATAGTAGAGCCAAGTTGCTCCAGTCATCCGAGTCAAGGCCATCCTGGATCAGCCTGTAGCCATTTGATTCCCCAAAAGGTGTGTGAATCTAAGAACCACCCACACAACCTACAGAGTCATGAACTCAATTAATGTTGATTGTTTAAAGTCACTGTGTTTAGGGTGGTTTGTTATGTAAACTTATGACAGTAGACTACTGTTACAGATGCAATTTAAAGCCAAATAACTAGATGAGACAATCTAGTTGGGGAGAGCAAAGTGAGTAGAGAAGATGATTTGGAATTGAACCCTGATGTCCTCTAATGTTTAGAGGTCGGGTAACAATGGAGGAGCCAGCAAAGGAGTCTGAGAAGGAGCTGCTGGAGAAGTGGGAGAAAAACCAGCAGAGGCTTCAGTAAAATGCTAGTGAAGTGACATTGTGTTTGACAATATGGAGGTCCCCCACGTCTTGGCCCTTCCATGGGCCCCAAGTTCTGAACCGCCTCTAGTCTGTCCTTTTCTCCATCTCTAATGTTTTTGGTTAAGCCACTGCTGAATTTGGCTTGGGCTGTTTCTTGATTGTATACCTTCATTTCTTCTCTCTACAATTCACTCTTCACAATGCTGATAAATGATCTTCTTAAAATATCACGAGATTGCATCATCTATCCAAAAGCCTTTCATGGTATTGAATAGCATTCAAACTCTCCTAAACTAAGCCCCAGCAAACACCAAAAGGTCCATGCTGGAGTCCGCAAAGGTACTGCTTATCAGGTAGGAAGCTTTGGGGCAGGTGTATGACATTCTTTACATGGTTGAGTTTCATCTCTTTAAAACTGAGAAAACATTAGAGCATATAAAATCTAAATCTACCTCTAGACCAGGACCAAAACCTAAATCTGTTCTCTCTCTCTTCTCTTTCTGTCAATATCAGTTCCCTCCTGCTTTAGTAAAATTATTAAAACTGAGCACATGGCTGCATAGCAAGACTACATTTTCTACCTACCAATCAGTTAAGTGAGGCCAGAGGTCATCGAATGTGAGTGGAAGTGAAGTGTACCACTTTCTGAACTGGGATTTAAGACATTAGGTATGCTTTCTCCAAGTCATCTTCACTTTTCCCACTATGTTGTGCTGCATGACCATGTGGAATATAATTCCCCTTCCAGTTCTGTAGTATGAAAAAACATCTTTTTAAAAAAGTCCTTCTATTGGGGGGTCAATTTGTTATGCCTTTTAACTAACACCTCATCTACACCTGTAAAGTTGTTGAGAAGTAATTTATGTGAAAGCACTTTGCAGAATTTTAAAGTAAGGCAGGCAAGTGAGGTAGCAAGAACAAGCGATTTGGATTCCTAAGATCTGGGGTCCAACCTTTCCAAAGATTTAGGCATGAAGTTAAGATGACTTTAGGAACCTGTTTGGAAGCATCCATTAATTCCCACTGATATGATTATTAGTGGAAATTATTATTACTATATTAATAATAATATTAGTGGAAAGAGTTGATACCTATGTTATTTTTGCTGAATGTGTGTTAGGGCACTGATTTGAAACCTGTTTCTTTTTAAGGTCATCCATGACTCACCTAAAAATCCTTTACCCTATTATTTCTTCACCCCATTATCTCTTTACCCTATTATTTGTTTAACTGGGATTATAAGAGAACATTCCTCACTCTAGGGATCTTTAACACTGATGACTCTTGTCCAGGGTAGCAATCACAGTCTAGTCTATTACTTCCATTGTATGAAGAAGGAATTTAGACAAAGAGAGATCTATGTTGGCTTTCTTTGAATTGCAGATCTGGAGAGAGAGAAAGAGAGAGAGAGAGAGAGAGAGAGAGAGAGAGAGAGAGGAAGAGAAGAGAGAGAAGAGAAGAGAAGTGGAAGTGGAGATAGGTGCAGATTTTAGGACAGGGCTCTTACTAGGGCCTACATCTAGGTAGAGGCTGCCATGATGTTCCCCTAATAATTTGATTTTTAAAAATATTATTTCAACTTTAATTTTGGATTTAGGAGGTACATATGAAGGTTTGTTATATGAGTATACTACATGATGCTAGATATTTGGGATATGAATTATCCTATATGCAGGTAGTGAGCATAGTAACCATTAGTACTCAATAGCCTTTCAGCCCTTTTTCCCCATCCTGCCAGTAGTCCATCAGTGTCTATTGTTGCATCTTTATGCCCACGAACACCCAATGTTTAGCTCACACTTGTAAGTAAGAACACACAGTATTTGGTTTTCTGTTCCTCTGTTAATTTGCCTTGGATAATGGCTTCCAGCTCCATCCATGTTGCTGCAAAGGACACATTTTCATTATTATTATTATTATGATTATTTTAACAGATGGAATCTTGCTATGTTGACTAGGCTGATCTTGAACTCCTGGCCTCAAGTGATCCTCCCATCTCGGCCTCCCAAAGTCCTGGGATTACAGGCATGAGCCCACCATGCTGACATGATTTATTCTTTTTTATGGCTATATAGTATTCCATGGTGTATATGTATCACATTTTCTTTATTCAACCCAACATTGATGGACACCTGGATTGATTCCATGTCTTTGCTATTGTGAATAGTGCTGTGATGAACATATGAGTTCAGGTGTCTTTTGGAGGAACTGATTTTTTTTTCTTTTGGATATATACCCAGTTATGGGATTGCTGGGTCAAGCAGTAGTTCTGTTTTAAGAACTTGATTCTTTACAAGCTAGCCCCATAGCTGCTTTTCTACTAGATTTCTAGACTCACAGATTATCTTTCCTTCTTTTTCATCTTACCTATGCATCAATTCAAATATACCTGCCTTTGTTATAGCCTCCCAGGCTGGACTTTGTTCCTTCAGGATACAAGCGGCTGACATAATAACTTAACCTCCACAGACAAGAGATGTGAAAGCCTCCAGAGCTTTCCATTCCTTGTGAATTTTTTAACATTGGCATACTGGAAACAATGCTCTGGTTTTTTTCTCAGTTAGAAAAGTGACTTGATGGTGAACTCTGAGTTCAAGAAGGAAGGTGTGCAAAGATAGTGGTAAATTAATTTTGACCAAGGGCTCACAAAACAGGTCCCAAATAGAACTTCTGTAGTTAGACTACACAGTCTATTTATAACCTTTTCACACTCTGAGAGCCATTAAACTGAGGCAGAGCAGAAGGAGAAAGACCCTATTACTTAGGCAAAAACACAGGGCAAATGATGGTTATTATGGACACAGTGGTCTACATATAAGGCAGTTCACCACTTTGCTGTGGATTAGGGGCTTATTCAGAGTATTTTGATTCTCTGGATTCTACAGCCTGGGCTCTGTTGTTGCAGAAGGGAGTTCATTTCTTGGCCCTCATTGTCAACCTTCTGCTCTTCCTAATTACAAACACTCATTCTTGAATCTCTCTAGTAGCATCTTCTAGCCATATAAAAACTTTCTTACCCTTGCCATTTCTTTCTCCTGATAAAACAATCTAGCACTAGCTGTGAGAAGCAGGATAAATTTGCTTTTCAGAGAACAATATTACTGAGTTTGAGTGCTATACAGATGCTGTATTCTTGGATCTTTAGGGCTTCTGAGAGTGAGTTTGCAGATTAGGGTCTTCCATTCATTCTTCTTTCTTACCTTTCTCTTTTTCCTTTCTTCTTTTTTTTTTTAAGTGGAAGGAAGAGGAGAGAGGCTAGATCTAGCCTCTCAAAGCAGATTTCAAATGTTGTGGAAGAACTTGCTTCCTGTCTTTGAAAGCATCATTCTAATTGATTGTTTTACAGTTGCCTTTTGTTTGTGAGGGGTCATGCCAATCGATCCACTTCGTGTTTATAAACACATCCCAAAGCTTAATTGTAGATCTATTGTCTGTAACTTGAAATGCATTTTCCTACAGAAAAATGAAAATGTTATAATTCCAAGGTCAGCTCAATTATGAGTCCATAGTTGTTTGCAAGCAATAAAAATGTGTAGAAAACCATACTGTTGCAAGTCTAGTAGACTTAATGAACAGGAGCAATAATGCTCAATGAGAAAAAGCTTACTGTATTTTTATCTTGAATGGTGATGAAAAAGAAAAATAACAATATGGTCGGAGTGGGGATACACTTAGAGGAGGCTACAGAAGATGTATTGAACTTAAGAAATGAATGGGGAGGTGGCAGGAGAGGAATAGATAGGATGAGCTTAGTGGGAAACAGATAGGTGTTTTCTGCTCTGAGATGTATCCTGTGGCTGCCATGCTCCCAGCCCTTCTGGAGCATCTGTACCTCCAATCTCACATAAGTTGCCATATGAGTTGAAATATCAGCCTCCCTATACACAGCCTGCACGTGTCTTAATATGTCTCTCATTTCAGAGTCTGTGGGAGGATAGGTAAAAGGAGATTGGGTATCCCAGGTTATAGTCTCCATCCTGTAGCCCACAAGTTGGGGTCCATTTTAAGTCAGATTAATGGAGACTCTTGGTTAACAAATAACTCTTTTAGTTATTTTTAAATGTACAATTAAGTTATTTTTGACCACAGTCACCCTGTTGTTCTATCAAACAGTAGGTCTTACTCATTCTATTTTTTTGTACCCATTAATTGTCCCCATCTCCCTCGACAGCCTGCCAATACCCTTCCGAGCTTCTGGTAATCATCCTTCCCCTCTCTATGTCCATGAGTTCAATTGTTTTGATTTTTAGAGCCCACAGATAAGTGAGAACATGCAATGTTTGTCTTTCTGTGCCTGGCTTATTTCACTTAGCATAATAATCTTCAGTTCCATCCATGTTGTTGCAAATGATAGAATCTCATTCTATTTCTGGCTGAATAGTACTCCATTATGTGTATGTACCACGTTTCCCTTATTCATTCATCTGCTGTTGGACACTTAGGTTGCTCCCCAATCCCAGCTATAGTGAGCAGTGCTGCCGGAAACGTGGGAGTGCAGATATGTCTTCGATATAATGATTTCTTTTATTTGGGGTATAAACCCAGCAGTGGGATTGCTGGATCATATGGTAGCTCTAGTTTTAGTTTTTTTTGAGGAACTTCCAAACTCTTCTCCATATTAGTTGTACTAATTTGCATTCCCACCAACAGTGTACAAGGTTTCCCTTTTTTCCACATCCTCACCAGCATTCGTTATTGTCTATCTTCTGGATATAAGCCATTTTAACTGGAGTGAGATGATATCTCTTTGTGGTTTTGATTTGCATTTCTCTGATCAGTGATGTTGAGCACCTTTTCATATACCTGTTTGCCATCCAGTATGTCTTCTTTTGAGAGATGTCTATTAAAATCTTTTGCCCATTTTTGATTAGATTATTAGATTTTTTTTCCTATAGGGTTGTTTGAGCTCCTTATATATGCTGGTTATTGATCTCATGTCAGAGATTAATTCTGGTTAGTTTGCAAATATTTTCTTCCATTCTGTGGGCTTTCTCTTCACTTTGTTGATTGTTTCCTTTACTTTGCAGAAACGTTTTAACTTGATGTGATCCATTTGTCCATTTTTATTTGTAAATCTTTTTGTTAAACTCTGATGAAGAAATGTGCTATTTTATGTAAATCTTTATATTTAACTCTGATGGAGAAATGTGCTATTTTACATAAATCTTTATGTTTAACTCTGATGAAGAAATGTGCAATTTTACATAAAACTTTATGTTTAACTCTGATGAAGAAATGTGCTATTTTATGTTGCAGAAGCACAGCCTTCTGTTGAACAGATCTTTTAGAAGGAAGTCCCTTTCCAGTCTTGAGTCTTCATAGAATTAGTTTGCTCTCTTCTAAAAATATCTGCCCATCACTCTTATTTAGAATTCTTCTTTTCCTGAGACTGTTCATGTATTAGGATGTTCTTTCCCCAGACTCTCTGTTTTTCCCTTTACTCCTCAAAAAGAACAGACTGTCTTTCATTTTAAGGTTTAAAAACAAAACATAAATAAATCATGATAAATTGATTGGATTATAAAAACCAGTCAATTTGTACAAGTTTCAAAACTTCCTGAAATGTTAAAAAAAACTCTCATAGTAATTGTCCGGCCTGCCTGGACCACTTGTTTGCTGAGACCCCAGGAATTAAGCCAATTGCGCCAGATAGAGCCGAATGGACAGGATGTTCAGGCTTTATTGGAAAATCCCCGGGCGGACTGACTGGACCCGTACAGCAGGGGAGGGTCAGCAGTCTCGCGCCGGTTTTCTTTGTTCGGTGATTTTTATAGAGGTGGGGGAACCGGGAGGTGGAGGAGCTGATGCGACAGATGGTGATTGGTCAGTTTGACCGTCAGGCGGGAAGTCAGTGAAGGGCTGATGAGGTGGTCGGTGATTGGTCTGATCGGTTGCTGGGCAGAAAGTTGCTGAGTTACCTAGGGTCGTTTGTGCTTGGGGCTAGGACGCTGGGCAGCGTGAGACAAAGGATGTCCACGTGGTGAGGTTAGGTATTTTCCACGTGGCCGGGGCCTGGGTGGGAGCAAGAGGGGATCCAAGGGTCCTCTACCAGACAGTAATTATTTACCATTTTCAATTTCCTGAGTTCTCTTCTGAGGTGGTAAGTACTGACTCCAGTTTTTAGTTTGGGAATCAGCTTATTTGTTTGGTATAGGTGCCAAACTAAACTAGTCTTACTATAGCCTGGAGTTGATATAAGATAGTTTTATGGACAGGCCTGAGCAATGGTCCCTTTGAGATGTGCTTTCAGCTTCTACTTTCAGAGAATAGGTTATTCTTATCCCCATGCGTTTCACTCCATTTCCTCCCTATGTAAACTTCCCCCCCCCCACCCATCATTGCTTGGGTCTCCTGTGTTCCTTAGTGTGCATCAAAATAACCTGTGTTGACCTAAAAGGAAGAAGCTGAAGCAGAATTAATATAAGTAGTGAGTTAATTTGGGCCAAATTTGAGGATTGCAACCTGGGAGCACAGATTCCATTTGTCCTGACTATACACTCCATTTAGTAGCACTTACAAGTAGATTTTTGAAGGCAGAAAGAAGGGGCAGGGAGTGGGCTGATACAAAGTCATCTGCCAGGAATTCTTATTGGTTTACAGAAATAACATTGATTAGTGATTGGCTAGACATTTTAAACTATAGGGTGTTGGTTATAGTGTCTGGTGTGGCATTAGGTTAATTTATAGCAAGCAATAGCAGGTAGTTTCAAGATATGAATATATAGCTCAAAGAAGGGAGTAGGGTGTGATTGCTATCTCATTTCAATGCCTCTCTGGGCCTAATAATTTGAAAGGGCTCACATTCCTTAGATGAATCTTTTTTTCTTTCCTCACCTAGTAAGGACATGGGTTGCTGGGTTTCACTTTGGGAGTTTCTGATTAAGTAGGCTTGAAGTTGGGCCCAGGAATGTGTATTTTGAACAAGTTCCCATGTAATATTGATACTTCTGGCCACAGAACCACTTTGCCCTAGGTCAATCAGGCTCCTAGCTTCTAGCAAGGGCAGTTTTCTCTCTGGCTCTAAGCTTCAGTCTTATTCACCCTATCACAATCAGGCCTCTCTATAGCTCTGCTCTAGACACTCCAAGCTTCATAGCTGGTTCCTTGGAGGTTGAAGTCAATTTCCTACCTAAACCCCAAAGACGCTTTTCCTGACTTCAGACTGTAGAGTCCAGTTCTGACAGCTGTGCATGTTGCAAGTCTCCAGGGTTCTGGGCTTTTCAAGTCTCATCCTCTCTTCATTCCAGTTTCCTCTGTTCTTTTCAGTTGTCAGCAAATCCACCCTGCTGAAGTTCAGCTTTTCACCTCCTCTTCTAAGTAACACGTTAATTCTAATTCCTTCATGATGGGCGTGTGATCCTGAGAGCCATTTTGTGTTTCATCTTTTCCCTCCATAGCTTATCTTAGTCCATTTTGTGTTGCTGCAACAGAATACCACAGCCTGGATATTTTTTAAAGAAAACAAATTTATTTCTTACGGTTCTGGAGGCCGGGAAGTCCGAGATTGAGAGGCTGGCGTTTGGTAAAAGCCTTCTTGCTGCAGTTAGCCCATGGTGGAAAGTGACAGGGCAAGAGAGTGAAGGAGAGCAAGAGGGGGCCAAACTCACCTGTATAACGAGCCTGTTCTCTTGATAACTGTTCTCTTGATAACGAACCCACATCTGCAATAACAACATCAATCCATTCTTGAGGGCAGCGCCGTCATGACTTAATCACTTCTTAATAGGCCCCCCCTCGAAACACTGCTGCATTGGGAGATTAAGTTTTCAACACTTGAACTTCAGGGACACATTCAAACCAGAGCATAGCTTTTAGCAGATGTTCATTGCCTGCCTCAAAGCTGCTGTAATTGAAGGTGGGAACTGGGTTCCAGGGCTTACTGTGGCTCCTAGATCTGTAAGTTATTTCCCACATGCTATTCCATTACTCAGACATTGATATTTCTGCCAGGGAAATGGTTTTGCAGAATTGCAGTTTCAGGCTGATAGCAGCTTTGGAGTAAAGCCAAGGTCTCAATAATATTTCTTTTATTTGATTCCCACTAGTCTGACAACAAAGCCTTTGTTCTCTAGATGAACTGTATGTGTGTGTGTGTTTATTATAAAGAATTGGCTCATTGGGTCATGCAATTATGGAGGCTGAGAAACTTTACAATCTGTCATCTGCAAGCTGGAGACCCAGGAGATCTTGTGGTGTCCAGTCCAAGTACAGGATAAGACTGGTGTTCCAGCTTGAAAGCAGGCAGACAGAATGAATTCTCTCTTTTGTTCTATTCAGGCTTCCGAAAGATCGGATGAGGCCCATCCATGCTGGGAGGGGCAGTCTGAGACTAAGTCTGCTGACTCAAATATTAACTCTTCCAGAAACCTTCACAGACTCATTGCAGAATAATGTTTAACCAAATATCTGGGCGCTCCGTGTCCCAGTCAAGTTGACACATAAAATTAATGATCACAGCCTTACCCCTAACTAACTCCTGTTAATCACAGGGGTTCACATAAATGAACAATCACACAGAGCATCTTCTCAGGTACCATGAGAAGCTTGCCATATTTTTCCTCTCCTTCAGGATTGCCCTCTTCTTAGATGACCTGCTGTTGACCTCAGATACCTACAGAGACTCTGTTGCTGCCTGTCAAAGATGCTGTCACCTTCCACTCACCAAAAGCGCCTCTGTTCTCTCTCATCTACTAGGTAGCAGTGCTGGAAGTCTTGTATGGAAGTGGAAGGTCTGATATCTTTGCTAAATATATTGGCACCTCTGGTTGGCAAGGTTGCTAGTGTTCCACTCTGTTGATGCAGGCCCTGGTGGTAGCACTGATGTGATAAAGATTTCAAAGCACCAACAGGTTCTCTACTGAAGTAGAAAGGATCTTTTTATGTCTTTTGTCTTATATTTCTACCTGGGCTCCAAAGTCATGCTTCCTGGTGTTGCCAGTGAGCAGAGAGAATTGAGGGAAGAAGCTTTTTGCAGAGATGGCTAGCTGTTTGCTAAAATTCCACTATGTAGAATGAGTGCCAAGAAGTAGCCACACACATATTAAAAAAAAATTCTGAGGCCCTGTACTCCACCTTTGCATTTGGTGGAGTCATAGGACTCGCTCACACTGATGTGAACAGAGCTGATGTGTCTGATTTCTGGGCCATAGAGTTTAAGAAGTGGTGTGTGTCTCCTTCACATTCTTTCTTTCCTCTTCTGCCAGCTCTAATACCTCAAGGAATGTCAGAATACAGGACAGAAGGAGCAGTACATCCATCTTGGACTGTTCTGGGAGCAAGAAATACATTTTCTGGGCTGGGCGCAGTGGCTCATGCCTGTAATCCCAGCACTTTGGGAGGCTGAGGTGGGCGGATTACCTGAGTTCAGGAGTTCGTGACCAGCCTGGGCAACACAGTGAAACCCCGTCTCTACTAAAATACAAAAAATTAGCCGGGTGTGGTAGTGTGCACCTGTAGTCCCTGCTACTCAGGAGGCTAAGGCAGGAGAATTGCTTGAACCCAGAAGGCAGAGGTTGCAATGAGCTGAGATTATGCCACTGCACTCCAGCCTGGGTGACAAAGCGAGATTCCATCTAAAAAAAAATATATATATGTTTTCTGTATATTTAAAAATAATTAAAATGATAAATTGTATCCTTGTGTCCTTGTGTTATGTGTATTTTACAATTTTAAAAATTACATTTCTACTATGACAAGTTGCTGAAAATTTGAGGTCTATTTGTTACAGCTGCTAACTAATGTTACCCTAACTGATTCTCAGCTGCTTACATTTGTTCTCATTTAGGATTCATTTACCAGGATATTGGCAGGAGCCACACACGGAGTGCACTAAGAGCAATTCTCAGAATTTTCTTTCTGTTTTCAACTTGGCCCTATGCCCTTGGCATGTGTTGCTTTCTTTTTTTTTTTGAGACGATGTTTGCCTCCTGACCTCAAGTGATCTGCCCTGTCTCAGCCTTCCAAAGTGCTGGGATTACCAGTGTGAGCCACCACACCCAGGCTGCTTTACAAGTTTTAGCTCTGTTACTGTTGATGATGTACCTCACAGACCCTCCAGTCATGCCACATGTGAATCTTTAGTGAACAATTTAAGTTTGAGTTTCTTCCAAGAAAATAATAAAATACTATAGGAACAACAGATGTAATTTCCAGAGAAAGGGCAGAGGATAGATCCTTACATTTTTTTGGGTACTTAGTCCAAAGAGTATTTGGATACTTGCTATACATCAAGCAATGTGCTAGCCCATTTTATATTTTACTACTATAATAGTTGTTACAAAGTTCTGCATAATTAAACCATAGGACAAAAAAGAATATATTCATAATAAAAATTTGGTTTGAAACTACATGGAGAATTGTGATGCAATTATTAACCGTTATTTATTTATTTTTTTGCTGCTCTTATGGTGGAAATTTGTTCATTATATTAACTGTTATATTATAATACAATTTTGTACATGCATCTCTAAATTTAAGTATTATTTTATACAATGTTGTTTGTCCTTTAGAATTTTTACTAATAAGGAAAAAAGTAAATACACAAAACCAAATTAAATGAAGGTTATTCATATTTTAGAAGTGCACCAAAAGAAAAATGACATTTAAAAATGAGATTTTGCATTCCTCCTGTCACTTTTATTCATCAAGATACAAAGATAAAGAATCTTAACGCTATACAAAACAAGCTTGATCATGTCCCCTTAACACTAAATAGATTTTGATAATATAAAAAAAGCAAATGTTTTAGAAGTTATGGCTTGAGCTGGGTGCAGTGGCTCCACCTATAATCCCAGCACTTTGGGAGGCCAGTATTGACACATAGCTTGAGCCAAGGAGTTTGAGACCAACCTGGGCAACATGGTGAAACTCTGTCTCTTCAAAGAAAAAAAAAAAATTAGCTGGGCATTGTGACATGTGTCTGTAGTCTCTGTTACTTGGGTAGCTGAGGCAGAAGGATCCCTGGAGCCTGTGAAGTTGAGGCCATAGTGAGCCGTGATGGCATCACTGCACTCCAGCCTGGGTGACAGAGCTGAGACCCCATTTCAAAAATAAATGAATAAATAAATAAATAATAAAGTTATAGGTTGATAGTTTTATATTTAAAAATCATTTTGCATAGGTAGTTATTCAACTTACATAAATCATTATTTTCCCAAGATGAATGTGTATGTGTTTATTCCATCCAGGCTGCTTTAACCAAATATAAACTCAATGGCTTATAAACAACAGAAATTTATTACTCCCAGTTCTGGAGGTTGGGAAGTCCAAGGTACTGCTGGATTCAGTGTTGGGCAAGGGCTTTCTGATTCACAGATAATTCCTTTCAGCTGTATCCTCACATGGTGGAAAGGGCAGCCAAGCTCCCTCAGGTCTCTTTGATAGGGCACTAATCCTGTTCCCGAGGGCTCCATCCTTATGACCTTATCACTTTCCAAAGACCCCACCTGCTAATACCATCACCTTGGGCATTAAGATTTCAAAATATATATTTTGGGGAGACAAATATTCAGACCACAGCAGTATGTATTCAAAGACTATTCTAATAAAAATTCAAAGGTTATTGCTTTCTTACTACATTGAACATTTATAAAATTTATGTAAATACCCTGAAGTCTAAGAAAAATATGCCAGGAACATATTTGACAAAATCAAAATTTATACTCAAGAGTACGTGATAGCCCTATCTAGACCAGGATTTAAATAATTGAAATCACCACTGAAGATAGAAAAATGTACAACATCTAAGCATTAATTTTACCATAAGAATAAAAGAGAGGATGATGCTGATTTGCTGAATTTCTAAGAATCAGGAGTCTCATAGATTATCTGAACTTTTTTTAAAAAAAGCTTGAAAAGTGAACAACTACTAATTTTGCTGAATTTCTAAAAATCAGGAGTCACACAGATTATCTGAACATTTTTTATAAAAAGCTTGAAAAGTGAACAACTATTAATTCTTTTATGTCCTGTGAATATTTAATATATATTAATATAATATGAATTATGTGATAATGATAATATGAATATTTAATATAACTTATTTAAAACTATACATAATCCTATCTTAATAAAACTTTGTAAAATATATTTGGGTGAGCTTTTTCATCTTTTGCTTTTTTTTCAGGCAAAAAAGATTTGAAGAAAACTTAGTAGCAGAATTGCTATTAAACTTCGTCATTTAGGATTTACTTTTTAAGGAAAGAAAATTAATTGTTATTATTGCAAATTAAATATCTTTCACCTTTCTAATAATCAAATCCTAATCACATATGACTTGTGAAAACTATAAATTTTCTCTTGTACACTTTGCTGATAAAATAATGAGAAAAATAAAATAAGACTCTTTTTTAAACTAGAGGTTTTAATTTATTATTATTGGTATATATTTTTCCCGCTCCTCCTCACTTCCCTTATCTCTGCCTACAAAGTTCCAAACTTCCTTTAAGGTCTATCCCAAATGCCACTTTCCCTAAGAAGTCAAGCACATTGCATGCTTAGCTCGTGTTGTATTCTGCCTTTAATTACTAGATACTCTGGGGCAGAGATTGTCCCTTCCTCATTCTTGTGTCACCAATGGCACAAAGCACAGTCCTTAAGTTTGATGAGACCTAAGTAAACATTTGCTGAATTAAAATGCTAAAGACTTATGATTTCCCCTTCCTCTATAAAATAATTTGGGTGTGCTGTTGATCCAAACCTCTCTCCTCATTTTACATAGGCATGCAAATTCTTCAAGAACAAAAGTCAGCCTGGGCGTGACTCAGCAATGCTGGGTCAGTGTGTCGACCCTGCTCTGGTAGCTTCCAGAGAGCTGAAGAAAGTTTGTTCCAGCCACACCAGGTGGCAGTGTGAACCGTGTCTGCATGGCTGGAGTATGAGCAAAAACAATGTAGACATTCTACCAAAAAAGACATTTAAAAACAGTTTAACACAAAACAGATAAATAAAGTCAATCTTCTATATTTTAGGGAGAGATTCAAAGACTCACATGATTTATACAACTGCTGTTGACACAGAAAAGTGAAGAAATAAGTTTTATTATTTGCACTGGCAACAGGTCCAGAGAGAAATAAGTATGTATCCTGGCAGACAAGAATAAATCTTGGCATTTATATAAAGGAATGGAAGTGATCATAATGAAAGTTAACATTATTATACTATTTTGCAAATATGAGAATAACTGTAAAAGTCACAATTATTCCTTGAAACTCAACTGGTCAGACTATTTCACTTATTAAAAAAATCAAGAGATTAATCTGATTTTAAAATATAACTAATTTTGGCATTATGGTTGAATTTTGGTGCAGGTAAATGATTTGTGCGAAGTATTTTTCATGTATATGAGTACCCTTACTGTCTTAAAGTTGGGATTCTGGGTTAAGTCCTACTGAATTTGGGATATGGAGAAATAAGAAACAATTGCATTATTCTGGTATCAGTAACGTATTCCTCCATGAAGTACTCTGCAGTACTTGATAGATATCAGCACTTCCACCTTTGAGTTGATCTTCTGAGTATTTTCTGCAGCTATAAGGTAGTGGGGAGCACTAACAAACAGAGAGAAATCTCTCCTTTAGACACTTATTATTATGGACACTCCTGATTACTCAGCACTCCTTGAATGCTCTTTTAATGCTTGGAAAATTTCCTGTCGTAGGAGTCTCTCTTTCCTAGGTTGCAGCAGGAAACTTGCTTCCCTTGGGGTCATGGGTGTGCGTCCTGGATTCTACCAATTCCCAGCTTCCCTGGGGTCGTAGGTGTGTGTCCTGGATTCTACCAATCAGATGCACTTTCATATGGCTTTAACTCAGAAGTGAGCAATGGGAGAAAGGAGGCATGTAGAATTTGTCCTTGAGCAAGGGTGGCAACAAAGATGTTGGGGCTCTCTAGGATCATCGATGCCGGAGTTTCTGGCATCTGATTCTGAGAAAACCCACGTGAGCTGAGCAGCATTTGTGCAACTCTTGGTAAGATGCTGACCGTACATCAGGGATGCTTTGGTTGTAGTAGCTCCTGCAGAGGAATTGGACATTGTTCCTGACTGCCCAGCATCCAAGCCTTGTTCTCAACCCCTCTCAGAGCATCTGTGAGCTACCTACCAGTCTTCAATTCCTTTTTCACTTAAGCCGCTTAAAACCCTGACTGAAACAGGAAGAAGAAGAGACACTCTTTTTTTTTTAGACACAGCTTTTGGGATAATTTATAACATTTTTGTTGTGTTATAAACCTAGGGAAATTTTCATATGAAATTCCTGGCCTCAAGAAAGGAAGAATGAATACAATATAATGGCTGTAATCTGGAATTGATTAAAGATCCAGTAAATGAGGTAAAGCAATAGCGATTGAGTAAAGGTAAAGTGATTTCAATATTTATAAGTAGGTGCTTTCTATAAAAAAAAGAAATAATTTTGGGTCAAATGGGATTTCTATTTTTAGGTCCTTGAGGAATCGCCACACTGTCTTCCAC